CCGGGATATGTTCCAATCACAGCCGAATCCCACCATAATGCAACACCTGATTGAAGCATACCCCAACCCCACCGTTCTGCCAAACTCACATTCCTGACCCCGAGGTTGGGAGGCCTACCGCAGTGCCATTGTTTCCCACAAAGGGCGCTGTTTCGGTGGGACAGGTCCCAAGAGCGGTTGGAAAAGCTTTCACTGCAATCTACAAAAGTAGATCCGGGTTTCCATCATGCGCAGAACCATACTGGCCACGGCCAGGGATCAAGTCAGGCGCAGAATTGGTCAACTGTTCTTTAGAAGCTCTCACCTTGTTCAATTTGCGTTGCCCCTTTTACGGTCGGCAGCGAGAGTTTTCTCAGCATAACAACAACCTGTGTGACGCAAAGGGTATCTAAAACCTCAAAAACAGTGGCAACATGGGCAAGGGTATGCTCAAAAAGATATGGTGGCGGGCTCTTGGACCATGACTCGGCGCGCCCAAGGTCTGGCCACAACTTGTGGTGGATCCAGACCGAGCTCCTGTCATTAGACCGTTGGCTGCGGGATTGTCACCTTTTACTTGTCGTTTTTGGATTTTTAGGGTTCCCTACGTGCAGGATCCCTCATTGGTGGTTTGGATTGTTGATCTGAGGATTTGAACTGCTGGAAATTTGTGTGAGGGCGAACTGAGAACCCCTTTCCCCCCCCCCCCCCCCGCAAACTCCAAGCCAACAATCCAAACCACCAAGCAGAGGGGATGTTAGTTTTAACATAAACTTTTGGCTTCCGCTTTGAGATGAGCTTCGTTTTGGTGGGGTGGCGGGGATAAACAGGGAACTCTGCCTCTCTGCGTGCCTTCCCAGGTTCCACCAGGGTCTTTCCTATGTGACGCTAAGGATATGTCACCCTGGGAATCTACAAGAACGAGACCAACAAGCCGGGCAACCTGCCTACACTTATCGCATAGTCGGACAATACTGAAACCAGATGGCTGGTCAGCCATTTGGTGGTTGATTCAACCGAGAGATGTTCCTGAAGGTATGCACGTACTCAGCTTTCAGAAGACACGCCTCAGGATCTCCCCCCCCCTCCCAAAAAAAGAAAGAAAGAGGAGGCAAACATGGAAGAAGCACGTGCTTTTCAATTTGATGCTTAGTTCAGCCCTGTAAAGAGCACCCGCCAAAAAAGACGCCAGGTCCTATTAGTCCCTCCCTTCTTCTGCCCGCGGACAGCTCCAGTTCTGGGGCCCTCAGGAGTGCGCCAGGGCAGTCCGAGCACCTTCCGCGAGGTTTTTTTGACTTTTTGAGTGTATGGGTTCCACTGGCTTCATGTTGATCATTCAATTGGAGCAGTTGAAGCCCCATGTGTAGTTGAAGCCCCAAAAGGGATGTTGTCCCTGGGTCAGCAAATTCGGGACCGGGATAGCACCGGAAAGCGATGCCAGGGCTCGTGCTCTTGGCAAGCCGAACGAAAGCTGGGAGGGTCCCTTCACCTCACCGAACCCCCCGCAACCCTTGCGCTGAAAGCCCATAGAGGTGCGCGGAACATGGAATGTTTGACTTTCAATGGGGGGAGGTGACATTTCGGACATTGGGCGGGCGGGGAATATGTTTTTTTTTTTGGTTTTGGGGCGTGACATGTCGGAGATTCGTACAAAAAACTGAGCACCCCCGACTTGATGTTGGCTTATCCAGGCCTGGAGGCCCAGGATCGAAGAGAGCACGCGCACCAGGCGTAAAGAAAATGGCGTGGGTTGTCCTCCCGTTTTGTGTGGTGCCTCGCCCAGTCTAGCATGGAATTGCTTGAAACATATGGGGGCTTCCATGATGTGTCCACCTGAATCTACATTTTGCGGGTGGACGGGATTGCTCGCTCATCTCGGCATGCCAAGGCTCGCCTCTGAACCAGATGCAGCGCCGGCTGATGGAGCGGGGAACGCCGGTGCATGGGACATTCATTTTGTGCAAGCCCTCCATTCAGAAAGTCTTTGTGCCTTTGGACATCGCCCCCTCAGGTGTGTTTAAACGGAGCTAAGGGGTACTGTGATGTTTATGATTCAAGTTTATGCTTCAAATTTCTGTGCATATATGTATACACAGATATATATGGCTGCCATCATGATACAGGTGTAACCAGGTCTTCAACAGTGGCACAATCTTCGTTACGAAATCTCGCAAGATGAGGTGGTTCTGCAGCCATGGTCCAGACCAAGCGTTGACCCTGGATTACTCAGCATGGGTGGTTTGATTGGGCTCCCACTCGGATCAGCCGTGCGGTTTGCTTGGCATCCAACTTTTCCACCAGGAGCTTCACGAGAGCAACGAATGGGAGCCGCCCGTCGAGAAGCGGAGTTGATTCAGCCTAGTCGGAGTCAGCTGGGGTGTTTCATTCAAAAACAAGAACAGTTGGTCCGTTTGCTGAGTTGCTGGGTTGGTTGTAGCACCCTATGTTGTGACCCAACTAAGCAAACGGCACAAAGCTCCTGCAGGCCCTTAGAACGTGTGTGTCTTCGATGTATTTCGGCACGGTTTCGAAAGTAGCCCATTGTTGTGGATACCGGAGAGGCCGAGGATCAGCTTGAAAGGCAACGCGAGCGCGCTGTTCCGAGCTGCACTTTTAACAGTGAACCCCTTCCCCTGATTGTGAGAAACACCCGACTGGGCCAACTGCCCGGCCCAGGTGGGTGTTTCTCCAAATCGGAGACCCCTCACATGTGGCTTCCCTTTGGTTATCCTTTTTAACCATCCAAAAGGGGATAGGCACGCAACGAGAGTTTGCAGATGGCCAGAGAATATGGGAAGCCAGAAGATTTCCCAACTGGGTGGACGAAGGTACCCCACGCAGAAATTTAGGGGGGCGTGGGTGGGAACATCAACAAGTTGGTTACATGCCTCCATCTAGCAAATTGTGTGCCTTGCAGTCCCTTGCAGCGGAGTTTTTGCTCGGATTTTTTATCCACGCTCGGAGCTGATGGCAAGCTCCAGGTTTTGCAGAGCTGCAAGAAGAAACAAACACCGAAGGGTTCCTTGGGTTCTCGCACTGTTATTGGCATGTGTTTAGTTTTGTTGGGGGCCAAAACCAGAGACATCCAGGGATCAAGATTTTAGCCTTGGGACATGGGCTTCGGCAGAAAAGGTTTTCAACAGGCTGAACTATGAACAAAATGTTTGACTTCCATGTTGACTTTAGGTTTGGCCCAAAAGACCGCTCTCCTTTTGGGACACCAAAGGGCGCCACATGGATGGCGTCTCTGATGTTGACAAGTTTCAGGATATCACTAATAACCTCAGGCAATGTGAAGGTATGCTGTTTCTTGTGGCAACCTTTGTTTGGCAGCCCTTTTGATTACCAACCTTTGGTCGGCGTTCAAAGGGGAAGCAAAGCAAGTGGCTTCGAGGCTTGTCTTCGACAGCACCACCATCAACGCGCGGAATGGCCTGCGCCTGCCCTACAGCGACAAGGCACTCCTCACCAGGGGGCCCCCCTAAGCTTGACTGCCATTGGGTTGGATCTTTAGACTTTTTTTGGGGGGGGAAATCAACAACTAAACCCACCAAAAGTTAAACTTTTTGCAGAGGGGTCAACAGAAACAAAGGAAGCCGCTCGGGGATGAACTGGGAGTTTTCTTGGAACTTGACATGTCAAGGCTTACCTGGCTGGGTTTAAGGGACGAGCAGGGAATGTCCAATTCGGCCCGGTCTTTGATTCTGATCATTTACCCACTTACCAACGAGCGAACGAGCAAAAGGAATGTTTCCAATCACCAGCCAGCTGCTATGGAGCGAACTCTGATTCATGTTTTGGGGTGGGGGCAACAGCTGAGGTGGAGTTCACAAACTGTAGAGTTTAGCCTCTTGTGGAAAAGCATGTCTCAACTCTGGAGCAAACCTTTGTGCTCGGACAGTCAATGCTTCATACTTATTGGCTTTAGTTTGGAGACAGTAATGTGTCCACTGCTTGCTGCTTGACCAAGCTGTGGAGTTGGAGTTGGTTTGAGCATGTTTCCGGGAGGACCGTGGTTCTGAGCACCTTTTCCAGAGGTGCCCCATGAAAGGAACTGGCGTAGCACTTGCTGGACTGAAAATGACGCAAAACAGCAACAATTTGCAATTTGCATGCCCTCAAGCTTGTTGATTCTGCTTGACAATGTCAAGTTTCGACTGGGCTGAAGCCGAAAGGATGCCCCGGCAAAAACATGCCCTCAAGACGCTAAAGAAAGCCTCGAAACAAAAATCAAACAGCATCACACATCTCCTTTAATCCTTCCCTCAGAAAGACACATATCGCAACCCAAGTATATTGCCTTTTTAGGCTGGATGCCCTAAATTGTGCCAGTAAACCAACCATACTCAACGGCACCGTTTCCTGTTGCCAAGTAGCCGCCAAGTGGGCCCCTGAATAGGGCCCCAATCCTCCCATAGTGCAGAGGTCCCTATATTTCTCTTTTTGGTGGTCTTAAACATCACCATTTTGGCCCATCAAAGGTGGTTGTCCCTTGAAGGGGGTGATGTTTTAAGGGGAAATATAGGGAGCTGTGTGGCAAGGCGTCTGGGTTCCTGGCAGGTCCAAGCCTGTGGGGTTTCGCAACCAGCCGTGACCGAAGGCCTCCATGGTGGTGAAAGACCCGGGGGACCGGGAGAAGATCAAGCGGGGGGAGCTGTCCAAGAACTCGGCCTTCAAGGCCCGCTCCGAGCGAAACCGCACGGGGCAGGGCGTGCCAACTTTGGTAAGGGTCTCAAGCCACAAAACGGGCGGGCTGCCACAGCCACAGAAAGAAGTGGTACACTCAAGAAAAGGACACGCCAGCATGTTTATAAAGTTGGTGGTGTATGGTGGGAAATTTGGTTTAGGCCAAATGTTTGTGATACCAAGGGACTCCATCTGGAGGGATAAAGTTGTCAGGCTTCCCTATATATCCCGTCGTTGTAAACATCTCCGTTTGGGCAAGTTAAATGTAAATCGACTTTCCTTCCGGGGTGATGTGCAAAGGGGAAGTTCGCCCTCTCTCCGCAGAATGGGACGCCAACTGCCATTGGACGGATGTCACTCTTTGGGGGTATCAGCTTGCCGAGCTTTCGGTTGGGCTCAGTTTTTCGGGTTTGGACCACCTTGGTAAAGCCACAAGCTCCGGGACTTGGCAGGGCACGGGTGATCCAAGAGTGGGATCTAAGGCGCCCTTTCCAGAGTGGGGAGCTGGACGGAGTTCGGTTGATGTGTTGCTCATGGGTTTGTGCGGGTTGGCTTGGTCGCTCATGTTCATCTTGGGGTCAAGTAGTCAAGTCTTGGACATTGTTTCTGCTATGAACTCTGGCCGGTTTGAGAGGGGAATGGTCGTGACTGGTCAATTTGTGTTTGGATGTTCTCGGTGACATTATGACTCACACAAAACTATCACAGAGGCTGCAGGTCTTGATGCAGCCGATCGCATGGCCGATTTGGGGGGTTTCTTGGAGTTTCCATTCCCGCCCAAAGCGCTGGGAATGGGCGAAAAAGCCAAGCAACTTCCTTGGGTTTTGGGGGGCGACCTCTGGAAGAAGCGCTGGTTCCGAATCCGCCGGAAGCCCAAAGATTCCAGTGCCCCAGGAACCCGGTGGTTTATTTTCCAGCCGCGGGGAATCGGCCCAAAAGTTCATTCCAGTCACATCCCAGGAGATTTGAAAGCTAGCACCCCACCGGCAAAAGCCACTCCGGACCATCTTTTTGTTGGAAGACAATCTGGCTGGGAGACCCTTGGCCATCCTGGCACGCTGTGTTTTCCCAGTGTAGGCACAAGATGTAGTACAAACACGGTCTCCACTCCTCGCACCTTGCGTTTTCTGTCTCTTGCCAGCTAGGAATCATGGCCGCAAATTGGAGGGCACACCAAGAAAGAACAAATGGCTTCTTGGAGGCGACCCTGGCTCTTGAGGCTCCATGCCGATCCAACCCAATTCGAGGGCCTCCAAGTTCACCCACATGCCAGGCTCATTTAGCCGAGGTGCAACCCCAAAGGACACCGGTTTTGGCCTGGCATGAGGCTACGTCAGAGCTATCAATTCCAACATCAAATCTCACTCATCCCAACCAATGTCCGCGGTTGCTGGATAAAAGCGGCCAAGTTTCTAACATTTCGACCCATGTTCAGACCCCCCCCCCATTCTTGAAGAGCCTCTTGGCTGCAGCCGGCTGGCGCAGGAAGTGGCACCCATTTCCCTCACCACCCCCCCCCAACCAATGTCCGCAGTTGCTGGATAAACGCGGCCAAGTTTCTACTAATTTGGCCCATGTTCAGAACCCCCCCCCATTCTTGAAGAGCCTCTTGGCTGCAGCCGGCTGGCGCAGGAAGTGGCACCCATGTCCCTCACCACCCCCCCCCCCAACCAATGTCCGCAGTTGCTGGATAAACGCGGCCAAGTTTCTACTAATTTGGCCCATGTTCAGAACCCCCCCCCATTCTTGAAGAGCCTCTTGGCTGCAGCCGGCTGGCGCAGGAAGTGGCACCCATGTCCCTCACCACCCCCCCCCCAACCAATGTCCGCAGTTGCTGGATAAACGCGGCCAAGTTTCTAAGAATTTGGCCCATGTTCAGAACCCCCCCCCATTCTTGAAGAGCCTCTTGGCTGCAGCCGGCTGGCGCAGGAAGTGGCACCCATTTCCCTCACCACCCCCCCCCCCCAACCAATGTCCGCAGTTGCTGGATAAACGGGTTTTGGAAGGCCCCCCCAGAACCCCCCCCCCCAAGAAGTCTTGGCTGCAGCCGGCTGAAGCGCAGGAAGTGGCACCCATTTCCCTCACCACCCCCCCCCCCCAACCAATGTCCGCAGTTGCTGGATAAACGCGGCCAAGTTTCTAAGAATTTGGCCCATGTTCAGCCCCCCCTCCGTTTTGGGACACTCGGAGACGGCTTCCCCCGCTTTGGCCAGGTGCGGATCACCGAGGGGCGGCCAAGCCGCGCCGTTGGCCGCCTCGACTTCACCTTCCGGAAGGAGACGCTGACGACGTGACGTCGGTTTGGCCGGGTAGGTTCTCCAAACCGATTTGTTTCTTCCATTTGCTTAAGAACACGTTTTTCCTCTGTTGGTTTTAAAGGGAATCTATCACTACTCGAAATCTTTTTAATTTGTCCAGGGGTCTTAACGAAATGGAAGGTCTGGAGCCTTGGATGGGTGGCGCTTCTCTTGATTCCATGAGGGCGAAGGCGGGCAGGTCTTGAAGATGTCCAGGCCCAGATTTGGTGTCGCAGTACGAGACAGAATCGGATATACGCCGGAATATGTTTGGTATACCCTGAGGCTGGGCACCCAGCCTCGAAAGCCATGCCCTGGCCAGCCTTGCAGAAAAAAAATGATGAAGCCATGGCCAGAGTTGGGAACTGCGAAACGTTTTCACGGGTTGGCCCAAGCCTGCAATCTATCCAAGACTCCCCCCCAAAGCCCACCCCTAGATAGTTGAAGTGAATGATGCTTTAGTCCACATAAGGTCAAACAAGGCCAACTAAAGGAAAAGGCGGTGTTGGCAGGGTCCCTGAAGAGCTGATGTTGTTTGACAGGAGGCCCCCCCCTATTTTTTCTGACAAATAGCGAGCTGACCGATAGGTGGGTCAAACGCGCGAATGTTATCGGTGAGGGTCCTGCACCTGGGGACGCCTTGTGCCACTTTTGGAATAGCAATTCGGCCATGGATTTCTCTCGAGTGGATCATGGCCGCTTCAAAGGGCTTGCCTTGCATCGCGCAATATTCGGCTGGAAACTTGCATGAGCCCTGCCTTAGTTCATAAAAGGACACGGAACCAAGTGAAGAATCGTGTTCAGAGAACTCGTTGATTTTTATTTGGAGGACGTGTCGAACATGCGCCTCCAGTGGGCGATCACTTGCACAAGCGCACAGGGCCTTGGCTTTGGGTTGCCACAGGGAGAGAAATGTCTGGCAAGTTGTTCCGACATTTGTTTGGTCGAAAGGGAGCAACCTTCAGTCCTCATAGTTTCCCACGTGGCTGTAAGCATCACCTTGGCCCACCCTCTTTTTTGGCTGCCTTCACCAACACCATGGAACAGCTGGTCAAGTCCTAGACAAAATCTCTCAGTTAAGCTGAGACTTCCTTGGCAGGCCGATGTTGAAGAAAACGGAAGAAAACCCCCGCAGGACGAAGACGGCCAGGATGTGCTGGAGGATGCCCGCTGGGTGGCAGACGAGCGGAGCTACACTCGTGCAGAGCTCCTGGGACGTAACAGGTCGCTGGTTGGTTTTGGTGATGTGGTAACAACTCTGACCCAGTACCACTAGGGTGTGGCCTATATTTCGGATGGTTCCACTGAGGTCATGATGAGTTGTCCCCCCCCCTTAAACCAAGGTCTAATCAAAAAACCGGCCTCTGTGCCACAAAGTGGTTTGAAGTGCTATTGATTGTTAAGAATACTTTTGCTATTATCTTGTATACGGGCATGGCCAGTTTTCAGGATGGTTTCACGTAAGCAATGACGAGTTGTCAACGTTTTGCAGCACTCTTCGCCCAGCGCTGATTAGTACTGGCAACGTGACGCATGTTCAAAACAATAAAGCTTGGGGTGGGCGGGGGGTCACCGTGGTCAACCTCTGAAGGCATTTTCCACAACCACTGAAAGGGTCATCACTATTATTGATCAAAAAAGATCACCCAAAAATTGAAGACCCCCTTGTTAAGAGGAAGCCGTTCAGGGCAATCATGGGGGATTGCTTCTATAGGGGCCGTCCATTTCTGGCTTTTTTTTGGAAACATGTCACCATCAACCAGGTCCGCCGCACCTCTTAGATGGGCAACGCGCCATGTCTTCCGACAACGCGGGGGGGAACGTTACATTTGTCCCACCGGGACCGAAGCTCTTCCCCCGTTGAGGTGGAGGTCGAACTCCTATGGTTAGCCTACATGTTTGGTGGAAGTAATTTGTCTCTTGAAGGCCACCCGCTGATCTGGATTGACATTTGGTAGCATCCAGAAGCTGTGCTTGAGCATGATGATGGCTTGATGGTAGAAGATCCTAGGCGCAGGGTGGGTAGCATGGACCCCTGCCTTTGGGTGGATCCCCCCCCCCCGCATGTGTTGCGTTATTCAAGTATCAGTTTTGAGAACCTTAATCGAAAAAAGCTCCGCTTTGGACGCCGAACAGCTCCAAGGGGGCATTTGATTTGCCCATCCGCCGATGTCTCTAGGTGGATCAAGATGGGCTCCTGCCGGAGGGACCAGAACAGCCAGGAGGCCACAGAAATCACTCCCTGGCAGCTGGGGCCGGACGTCATGAAGATGCTGCCCAAGAAGCCAGGCGAGATCAGGGAGGGAAAGGGGGGCAGCAAAAATGCAACCTTCTCGTTCTATCAATGTATGTGCATATATAGATACACATGTAAATACATATGTGTATTAAAAAAAAATAAAAAAAAAATGGATTTACAATTTTTGGAGCTCCCCCCAAAACACATACCCAAATGCTTCAGCAACCAGACAGAGTAATTCGGGGGCTGGGGCGGGCGGGTGACACGGCCTTCCCCCCTCAAGATATGTGGACAGTATTTGTACATATCAATATCATATCAATATGCACAGGGGCCAAAGCCTATCCGCAGCTGCCAGGGGAGAAGTACTATCGCGAGTACGACGAAAACCTGGAGGGTTTCACCACCCACGTGCCGTACCCCAACATTATGAGATGCTCGCCACTCTGGCCGCGAGAAAAGGACGTAAAAGACCACGTCCGGGAAAACACATATCTGTGGTTTTTTAATGGTTTTGGAGGTTGGGTTCGTTATTTGACAAGGGACATGTGTGTTTTGGGGCGGAGGGGTTGTTGGGTGTGAAAATTGCTGCGGTGCTTTTTTCCCTGGGTTTGTGTGTGTGTGTGTGCGTGTGTTTCTTTACTGGCGTCACCTCACATGCTGCGCGGCCTACGCGATTTGCAGTTGCGACGCGCACAGTTCACTCCTGAAGCATCGTCGGGCACATGTTTTGATTTGAGGGGCTTCTGCTGGATTGGTAACAAAGGACAACCACCGCTTGGATAGTTTCGCAAATTTGAGACAAGCCCAAGTTGTCATGTGGAAACCTATAGTTTCTGGGCCAGCTTTCCAGAAAGCAAGTCACAGGGCTCTTCCTCATTGCTGCTTAGTCCTGAGAGGGAGCTCGTTCTTATGACAGAGGAGAGGGCGGAGCATTCCAACAGATCTAAACCATGTGGAAAAGAGCTGCTCACCCATGTAAAATGTCGAAGGGTCTAAGCTGCTGAGCTTTGTGAAGTTGCTGGTGTTGTTGGGCATCCTTTGTGTAAGTACTCCTTTAGACTAGGTATGGATTCAGCCGTGTCCTTGCTGTACCCTATTAGCAACCAGTAGCTAGCGGCCACATTTCTCATCAGAGAAACAATTCGAAAGACGGTCAAGTGATTAGATGCATTTTGTTAAATAAAAGCATATTCACCTGCGATTTGAGGCTGCCCACACGCGAGTTCGTGGACATTTGGGACGAACAGCTGGCCGAAGAAATGGATGCGCTGGAGGAGGACGGGCGAATCAGTCCAGCACTCCCTGCCTTCCATTTGCTGAAATGTATGTTTGTTGTAGTACAAAGTACCCCCTGTTAAAGCATGCCGTGGCCTTCTCTTTCTTTGCCCCACCTCAATAAATCAATGCGTCGAACAGACACTGTGCGCCGATGGCAAGTCCAGGATTTGCTTCCCTTTTAACACAAGAGGGTACCCTCCAAAAAGGTTTTTTCCAGGGGGGAGAACCAGGCGACGGCAAAAACCTGGACAGGTTGCAATTCTTTCCGCTGAAAGCTATGGATTTGGTCTTTGCCCGAATCCTCGAAGTTTGGGGGGGGCGTCGTTTCAGAATTTCAGGCTCGGGGGTCCGCTGGGAATACTTGGGCTTGCTGATGCTCGGTTGGGCAATCTAAAAGCTGAAAGGAAACCAACACGGACTTTGCACTTTCTCGATTTTACGGGTCTCCCTGGAACATCTCGTGGAACATGTCCAGGAGATGGAGCCGGAGCTGCGAGTGCGCGCCTCGCCGAAGCGTGTTTTTTTTCTTCCCCCAGTTCGGTGGATTCCAGCCCCCCGAAATTTCGCGTACCAGGGCCGTGGGTTACTGGAACCAATGTCCATTGAAGGTCAGGCAAGGATCAAAGGAGCGGCCCCTTGGGTTGGCTGGGTGTGTTTACTTCACCGGTTCCCCCAGATGAATCAACCCTGAATTCAACTGTGAGGTGCATCGCTTTCGTGGGTGACACCACCCTATTAGTAGGACGGGTTCATTCATGCCGGGTTCCCTTTATGTTTGAGGTATTCGGTTGTCGCCTAGTCCTGTGCCTCATGGCGGCAGGCCTTATCGTTTCGTTGGTTGTTTGGTAGGTTGGTAGCTGGCTGGCTGGCTGGCTGGCTGGTCGGTCGGTCGGTTGGTTGGTTGGTTGGTTGGTTTAGTCAGCAGATTTCGTGCTGGAGCAGTTGCTGGGGGTGGGGTTCAATGCCAAACCCAAACTCAAACACCGGAGCTAGTGATAGAAACCATGCATAACATGGAGCAAGTCGCTGAACATGCAGGACCAGATTCATGCGGTGCATTTGCAGGAAAATGTTGCAGGGAGGCTTGAGGAAGGGCCGAACAACATGGCAGACGTTTTTTAGACCTCCGCTCAGTGCTCAGTGGCGGCTTTGCTGGCTGGAAGTGCATCCATAGTCGGCAATGGAGACCCATGATTTAATTGTGTTGAAAAGCCCGGCTGATTTTTCTCACTTCTATAGAAGAAGTCCTTGATTGGGGGAACCACCGGAGTCGATGCCGAGGCATTGCCGGGCAATGGGTTTCCATCACGGAGGATCAGGAGAGGAGCTTTTTGGAGCGCAGGTGGTCGCTTCACCTGTCTGCTGGTGTTTTGGATTGGTTTCTTCATTTGGCTATGGGTCAAAAATAGGTACCCAAAATAGAACCTGGTAAAGGGAAACGTGGACTAAAACCTGCGGTCCATTTCCTGATGGTTTACTTTCAACACACAGCCATTTGTTGAGGGTAGATGTGGAGCTACCCCGATAAGTCCGTTTTGGCCCGTGAGCTCGACAAGAATGTCATATCTCGAGCTGTAGGTTTCTCTCGAAATCGATGTTGCTACCTGGTAGCCTGCTGGCCAGCACGAATGCCAAGAAAGGAACGTGGCCTCCTCACACCCCAGCAATATCTAGGCAATGGCATTGAACACACCGGACCGGAGACTTAAGTCCTTTCTGCTAACTTCAACTGATTCCACAAGGACTGTACTGATCAGTCCCTTCTGAACAACTGATTTTTCGAACGTCCTTCCGATGATTCCGAAGCTAGCCGTACCTCCTCTTGTGCCCAGTCCAACTCCCAACATTGACAAATTCAAATCCATTCAGTTTTCCAGTTGCCGTTGAGTCCTGCAAAGCAGCCCAACACATGATGACAGTCGTGTTTGTTCCTGGGACCGCTTGATGTTTTTGGCGGAACCACCTCCAAGGTGTGGAATGGAGACCTAAAGACTTTTATGGCGACGTCGCAGGCCATTTGGAGAGCGCCGGCGGTGACGCAGTTCCCGGACAAGTTCCCAGATTGGGACTGGGGCGTTGGCTCGTACAAGTACCTCGGCTATCTCGTTGATTTGGCGAATTGTGTTTTTTTTCTTGTTTTTGGCTGGAACCACGAACCACAAGTGGACATGAATCCCCAACGAACTCAGATGCCACCAAATGGTCCTCCATTAGAATTCATACCCTCCTGGCAAAAGTACATGGAAATACATTATGTAAATCCAAGTTTTCGAGTGAACCATGCCCACAATGAATCCAACGGCTTAAGGAACCAGTGTCAAGATGTTTTGGCCCGCCGCTTGAAGTCATTGAGGTTGCTTCGCCCTGCAGAGCTCACGTACATCCGGAAGAAGGGCAAAATCATGTGCCTCATGCACGGGGCGGGCGGAACTGTCGACTCATATCCCCGTCCAAAGGTTCGCTGTGGCGAATCCCCTGCGGGTTGTTGAACGTTTGGCTTTCGCCGAGGCCATCCACAAAGCAGGCTTCTTGCTTTGAGATTCGTCGTCAGCATATCCCCATCCACACTTGCAAGTCTAACAAAGTGGCCAACCCCCGCAATTGGCTTTACCCCGGCAAACTGGGGCAGCTGACAAACACTTCAGGTTCACTGCCTTTAAGGCTTCAAGGTCGTTTGTCGGGTTTGACTATGTTGGCTTTTGCGGCAAGAAATATGATAGACAGAGAGAGGAAGACCTTGGAAAAAGGTATAGGTTTCACGGGCAACTAGCGTGGCTCAGGGTCGATCTGAAAAGCCCGCACAGCGGAGGTGCAGAAAGGGTCCAAGAGTTGAACACATGCTTGAATGCGGCATAGATACATCAAGTGTTCTAACATACGTCTTCTCCGTACCAGATGCGCAAACACACCAAATAGCCAATGGCATAGCGCAAAGTTTTGCGCCGTCGGAATGAATAAGTGTGTGGCTAGCTCAAACCACATTGTTTGCCAGCAACGCCACCAAAGCGCCTCCCTGACTGCTTGGGGGACCCGTTTGGCCGTCCATCTTGTTGGGTCAGTTGACGGTGCACGTTTTGCAGCGCTTGCCATTTGCTGTGGCCAAGGAAACAACCAGAGTTCTGACATGTTCTGATAAGTGATACAAAGTGAGAAATATTGAGAATGGCCCAGTTCGGTATCAAAACGGGGGGGGGGGAGGGAATATTTGCGGGGTGAATCCGAGAGATTTTCCCGGAATCGTTTTCCAGATCCTTTGTACCTGACTTGTGGAATCCTGGGCAAGTTGCTTTCACTACGTAGACTTGTGTTTGAAGTGTTCCGAACCTTGCTTCCGCGGGATTCGCAAGGTGGCTGATTTTCGTTAGTTCCCCTCACGTCCTACAAAGTGATGCTGTTGCATGGAGGGCCTTGTAAGTACTTGGGCCCTTTTACTCCTCGAATCTGTGTGTGTGTCTGCGTCTGTGTGTTTTGTCTCTTTGTGTATGTGTGGGTGTGTGACTTTGTGTCTCCGTGTCTGGGTGTGTGTGTGTGTGTGTGTCTCTCTGTTAGGGTGTGTGTGTGTGTGTGTGTGGGTGTGTGTGACTTTGTGTCTCCGTGTCTGGGTGTGTGTGTGTGTGTCTCTCTGTTAGAGTGTGTGTGTGTGTGTGGGTGTGTGTGTCTTTGTGTCTCTGTGTCTGGGTGTGTGTGTGTGTGTCTTTCTGTTAGAGTGTGTGTGTGTGTGGGTGTGTGTCTTTGTGTCTCTGTGTCTGGGTGTGTGTGTGTGTGTCTCTCTGTCTGCCTGTCTGTCTCTGTCTGTCCGTGTCCGTCTCTGGTTGTCTGTGCCTCCGTCTCTCTATCTGTCTCTGTCTGTGTCCGTCTGTGCCTGCTTTTGTCCGTCTTTCTGTTTGTCTGTTCTTCAGTCTGTTTGTCTGTGTCTGTCTCTGTCTGCCTCGTGTGTTTGTCTGTTTGTGTGTGTTTTGTTGTGTGTGTTTCTGCATGTCTGTGTGTGTGTGTGTGTGTGTGTGTGTGTGTGTGTGTGTGTGTGTGTGAACACGGACGTTAAGCAGGGGGACCAGGCGTCTTGCTGCTGACCTGGTCTAACAAAGCTAGGCAGCAAGACGGGATACCGGAATTGGCCATTCCGGCGTACCTGCCATCCTTTCGTGACCTAATTTGCACTGCAGATTGATTTTTTCATGCCCTTTCAGTACAATCGCGTGTCTGCAAGAGCAGCCTCTCGAGATAAGTGTGTTTACCCACGGCCTGTCCGACATGGCGCTGTGGGCTGGACTCGCCACATGCGGGAGCCCCCTGCGAGGGGAAGACCGTTCATACGTTCAAATTCAACCTGCCGTTCAGCGCGTTTGACCACGATCAAGGCTGCAGCTTGAGGTCTTAAGGTATTCCGCACCCAAATGGTGCTCTGCTGGTTTCATGCGCGTTGCACTGCCTGCACTGCCTGCCTTTGAAGCAAGGCTGCACCCACGAGGTTTCAGGTTCCTAAGCTTCATGCGCCAGTGACGAGTTGGTCATACACCAACTCTGCAATTCGTGGTGTTTATGGAAGCTTTCGTCTCGGATGAGTTCAGTTCAGATTCATGAGTTCAGTTCAGATTCATCGGCATAGCCACATGAGGCACTTTCATGAGGCCACTTGACAGGCACCTCTGAGAACCCCTTTGTGCTCGCATGCATTTGCACCATTGACGCCTTGCGAAACCTTTTTCCGTTGCCGCGGGGTTTTTTGTCGGTCCCCCGGTGGAATTCCCTCGGTTTGGTTTTGTGCGCTCGGGTTTTTCGTCCTTGAAAATGTTTTGCTGTTGCCGGGGGTTTTTGGAGGTCCCCTGGTGGAATTCCCTCTGCTTGGTTTTGTGCGCCCGGTTTTTTGTCCTTGAAATTCTTTTGCTGTTGCCGCGGGGTTTTTGGCGGCCCCCTGGTGGAATTCCCTCTGTGTGGTTCGTGTCCGCCCCGCCGGGGCCTTGTGTGTGTGAACCGTCCTGGAACACGGACGTTAAGCAGGGGGACCAGGCGTCTTGCTGCTGACCTGGTCTAACAAAGCTAGGCAGCAAGACGGGATACCGGAATTGGCCATTCCGGCGTACCTGCCATCCTTTCGTGACCTAATTTGCACTGCAGATTGATTTTTTCATGCCCTTTCAGTACAATCGCGTGTCTGCAAGAGCAGCCTCTCGAGATAAGTGTGTTTGTGTGTGTGTGTCTGTGTTTGCGTGTGGGTCTGTGTGTGTGTGTGTGGGTGTGGGTGTGGGTGTGGGTGTGGGTGTGTGTGTGGGTGTGGGTGTGGGTGTGGGTGTGGGTGTGGGTGTGGGTGTAGGTGTGGGTGTGGGTGTGGGTGTGGGTGTGTGTGTGGGTGTGTGTGTGTGTGTGTCTGTGTGTGTGTCTGTGTGTGTGTCTGTGTGTGTGTCTGTGTGTGTGTCTGTGTGTGTGTCTGTGTGTGTCTGTGTGTCTCTGTGTGTCTCTGTGTGTCTCTGTGTGTCTCTGTGTGTCTCTGTGTCTCTGTGTGTCTCTGTGTGTCTCTGTGTGTCTCTGTGTGTCTGTGTGTCTCTGTGTGTCTCTGTGTGTCTCTGTGTGTCTCTGTGTGTCTCTGTGTGTCTCTGTGTGTCTCTGTGTGTCTCTGTGTGTCTCTGTGTGTCTCTGTGTGTCTCTGTGTGTCTCTGTGTGTCTCTGTGTGTCTCTGTGTGTCTCTGTGTGTCTCTGTGTGTGTCTGTGTGTGTCTGTGTGTGTCTGTGTGTGTCTGTGTGTGTCTGTGTGTGTCTGTGTGTGTCTGTGTGTGTCTGTGTGTGTCTGTGTGTGTCTGTGTGTGTCTGTGTGTGTCTGTGTGTGTCTGTGTGTGTCTGTGTGTGTGTGTCTGTGTGTGTCTGTGTGTGTGTCTGTGTGTGTCTCTGTGTCTCTGTGTCTCTGTGTGTCTCTGTGTCTCTGTGTCTCTGTGTCTCTGTGTCTCTGTGTCTCTGTGTCTCTGTGTCTCTGTGTCTCTGTGTCTCTGTGTCTCTGTGTCTCTGTGTCTCTGTGTCTCTGTGTCTCTGTGTCTCTGTGTCTCTGTGTCTCTGTGTCTCTGTGTCTCTGTGTCTCTGTGTCTCTGTGTCTCTGTGTCTCTGTGTCTCTGTGTCTCTGTGTGTGTCTGTGTCTCTGTGTCTGTGTGTCTGTGTGTCTGTGTGTCTGTGTGTCTGTGTGTCTGTGTGTCTGTGTGTCTGTGTGTCTGTGTGTCTGTGTGTCTGTGTCTCTGAGTCGAGAGGTAGCACATTCTGGCAACAGCAGTTGCCTCATTGTCAGTCCATTTTGTTGCATGTGTCACATGTTGCACCCGCAATAGGCTGCAGCTCAAGCATTGCCTCTAGGCATTTGGTAGTTTCACCAGCAAGCTGTGCATGGCATGTTCTTTGATCTTTAATCCTTTGCATTGCAAGTGCATCATTGCATGAGAATGAGGAGCAGACAGACTCCCCCAAGCAAGGCACGAGAGAAAGGGGCGGTCGCATCAAGAGACTCGGTCATGCTGACCGCTAAGCCTGTGGTTCGAGGCCATGCACCAAGTTTCGACTTGGTAGCGGAGCAGCTGCATAAAGATCCTTGGTTCCTACGCTGTGGTGCGTTCTGTTGCAGGCGGTATTGTGGCTGGGTTTTCGCATTGGCTTTGACGTTGTCTGTAGGCATCGGTTTGGTCCTGGTATGGGATCCTCCTTATGCGGTGTCGGGGCACAAGCCAAACACCATGGAGATGCTTGGCAGTGTAATTTCGCGGACTCAGCAGAATGCTGCGGCTGCAGTGGAACGGCTGGAAGCAGTGCAGGATGCGCTACATGCAGATGCAACTCCTGAAGAATTACTTCACCGACTTGATCGTTTGGGTTTGTTAGACGAGCAGATGCAGGGGCAGATGCTGAATCTACAGCAAACGCTTGCAGCGTACAGTTTTGCGAATGGAACGCATCAATCACCGGAGGGAAACGCATCTTCCACATCTGTTATAGCAGTGCAAGAGCAGCAGCTGTCACAGAACAGTTCGTGGGAGAACCTGACGGCCGAAGCAATTGACAGCAGGCAATTCGTGTTTTCGGGCAACTGGAAATTCGCTTTATTCCGATTTGCTCATCATGGTGGCGACGCAGCATACATGATGAGGCCCATGGCCACTGCTGGCAGGCGCATGCAGGCAAAAGCGTTTGAGACGGTTCGGAATTCGTTTGCGCAGTTGAGCAAGAGCTGGCGAGTGTTTTTGATTCTGATCTCAATAGCTGGCGCATGTGGTTTGGTGTTTTCTATGAACGCTGGACCTTGGGGACGTCAAGGACCTCATCCACCGCAGCAGCACCAGCGGCAGAACGTGCATATAAGGGATGCCGGTCCCCCATTTGTGGGAACGGCTACCCTAAAGGTTCCACCAGCTTGGGCAGCCGAACGTGCGCACTG